TCTTTCCTTAGAAGACAAAAGAATCCATATTCCTTGACAATTAATGAAGCAACAGGGAGATAAATAAAAAGGGAAAACGAAACAGCCTTCTTTGTTGGGAAAGAAAATAGGGAAGCTCTAGCTCCCTGTTACCCCAGAACAAAAGAATACAACATACTCAAATTAGTACTTGAAATTGAAACCTATCGGTTTTGAAAATGGAAAAACACGCACCTCTGCACTGCCATTTTCAGTTTTCGTTGATGGGTTCTCCATTTTCTCTTCAGATCTCTAACGAAACACCAGAAAACATAAAACCCAGGTCGCTGAATTAGAAAACCATAAAATGGGTAACAATCCGCAGGTAATGACTGAAGAGAGTACCTGAGGCTGAGGAGGGTTCTTATGCTTTTGATTGGTTCTGGATCTGGAAACACGACCTGTGAAGCAGCAAAGGGAAGCCTTCCTCATTTATATGCGCCGGAGAGTTCCAGCCTTCCAGTGGAGTCCAAGAAAAGCGCGGGACCCGACCAACCAACTCACTAATCAAAACATTTCTGACAAAAATTGCTGCTAAGTTTCTGTTCCCTTCGCTTCGCTTTTGTCGAAAGCATCACCCATCCCTTGGAGTCTGGAATTAATTAACGACACTTCTAATCCCAATAAAACCTTCTTCTTGCTCTGTTTTCCTCATGTTTCTTTCATTGTAATTTTAAAATCCCTTTCTTCCTTGAAGGGATTTTAAATTCTATCTTGCAGATGGGTTCAACCCTGCAACCGCATCAATGCTTGAATTGTAATTGAAGTTTTCAATTTTCAAAGGGTTTTAGGTGGTGAATGTTGGATTAATATTAATCTTGATATTAATTGAAGTACTTATTTTATATCCTTCAATTACAAGTCAATGAAATACTCTTGGACTCTTGCAGATTAGGTGAGCGTGGGACTTCCATCCTTTTTTTTTTTGCAAGAATTGACAAACTAGACTTCCAAGCAAATAGGCTAAGCTCCGTAGCTAAGTAGCTATAGAGCAGAGGTCCTCCTTCATCAAAGCCAACCTGGTTCAGTTTAAGCAAGGTTTTAAGTTCAAAACCTTATGTACGCAGCAGTCTTCGTTGGGAGGCCTACCCACCATTCTGGTATGTTACAGCTGGTCGAGTCCGAAGTAGTCGGGGCAAAGCTCTGGATACCAGACGGGAAACCAAAAAAAAGCCAACCCTGGTCCCTGGTAATGGTCGGGGAACTGATTTCCACATTGTATGCCCCATAAAAGCATCTGAATCTGAATCTTACCAGTTGCATCAATAGGCCCACTCAAATCTTGGGTTTAATATGATATATCATGACTTCCAACTTTTACATGACCTTGATTTACTCTATCCAAGGAGAGTAATGCATTAAATTAGACATCAGTGCACAATGCATTGAAGAAATAGAAAAAAAATATTGTATAGTGTAAATTATTTTGGAGTGCACGACTTTAATCATTAAATAAGATAAATATTTCTTTTTTCATTTATAATTATTGTTTTACAATTTAGACAACATAAAGTAAAAGTAAACCTTCAAATATTATAATTTATTTTTTACCTAATAATTTTTATTTTACGGTTTAAACTAGTGTCCTATTTGTAAAATAAGGAAACTCTTTAATAAAAATGACTTGATCAAAACCAAAACAAGGCATTGCCTTTTACTGACTTTCTCATTCCACTCCATAAAAGACATCGCAGTGACATGATAACATGAAGTAAACAAAAAAAAAACAAAAGAAACAATTAAATCAAAACAACTGAGAGCACAAGGCCAAACCAATGTAAGTAGGTAATACCTGACTAATGAGTGGCATAGAAGGGTCTGATTGCAGTTGCTGTTGACCGTCCACTCTTGAAAATGCCGGTGAATTTAGTGGGAAGAACCGTTTTCACAGTGAGTCTCAAATGCCAAATCCACAAGCAGCACAACAAGAACAGAAAGATGGAAGAAGAGGGAGAACTGATGCATAGCTCCAAGTGGGTGGCCGGTGGCCCGGTTGTGAGTGGTGAACGGCGTTCGGCGGCCTGCTTCCCGCGAAAACCTGATGGGCCAAGGCCCGTACGTCCAAAACTTGTTGAGATGGCTTTTCTCCTTCATGGGCTTTGGCTCATCTCTTCCTGGGCTAAGAAGTGGTAAGGAGTAAGAGTCTGAGCCAGGGAACCCTGAGCCGAGCCCAACTAAGAAAAGGCCAAAAAAATCAATATTTTGTCTTGGGTTAATACTAATTTAATATAACATTTTTTTATGAGACCTTTACATGTCTTGTGTCCATACACTCAAAAAAAAAAAAAAAAAAAAAAAAAAAACCCTTATAAATTTCTTTATTTATTATATTCATATACCATAAAATTCAAACTAATGTTAATTTCCGTTAGAATACTTTAGTCATTACATCTCATAGTCCTACTTAGAATACGATGCTAAGATGGATTCCCACTTGACTTGGCTTAAAATCTAGGTTTGGAAAATCTTCTTTACTAGATGATGATGATGATAAGCAGGGATGGAGCCAGAAATTTGAGTTAAGGGGGGAGGGAATTTCTATTTTTTTTTTAGTCATTCAGGTTTCATTTAATTATATTTTGTATAAATCTTTTTTACAACAATTTTTTTATTACGATTAATTTATATTTTATACTTGATCAAAAAATTAATATTTTATATATTTTCAAGACATTAAAAGATAAAAAAATTTATACTTACAATACAACACTGATGAATAAAGACTTAACTGTTTATATTAATATAATTTATATTGGTTTTTAAATTAATTACTATTTCTATACATTTATTATTTATATCATTCACAATAAAATTTTTTATTAATTAGATATATTTAACTATTTTTGAATAACATAAAATTTAAGACCTTTAAATAAATAATATAAAAATATAATTTTTTGGTAAAGTTATATATATTAAATGAACTTTGATTTAATAGAATATAAATTATACCAAAAAAATCATATATAACTAATTTAAAAACTTATATAAATTTATTTCAAAAGAACTAAATCTTAACCATTTTCTATATTTATTTTTATCTAAAAAAATTATCATGTCTCTATAAAATTAATCACAAAAGGAAAAATGATCCCTTTACCTATGTCCTTAACATTTTTCTATATTTGAATGGTCCCTATCATTCAAATTAACTTAAAATTTTGTAAAAAATAAAAATGATGTACCATGTTTAACAATTTTTAAAAGCTTACGGCCCCCTTGTGCTGCGCTAGCTTCGTCCCCTATAATAGGTGAAAGGA